CCCGCTGTAGACCAAAAAAAAGCAGTAATTATACGAAAAAGCAAATCATTCTAGGACAAACACCCAGGATCGGTGGACAAAAGAAGAGCACATTCCAATTAAACACTGCTTAGAAATATTACAAATTATGTAATTTCTAATGAAAATCGCAGAGGAATTTTCATGGGACTTCACAGGTACCTACTGATAACTCTTCTTTAAATTGCATCAAAAATCTTGTCAGTTTTACTTCAGCATATGTTTGTAAGAACATCTCTCCAAAACGTTCGTGTTCGGCGATTGCTGCCTCTAGTTCATCACCAGAATATTGACTCATCCGTCTACCATTATCCATTGTAATGCTATGCAACCATGATGGTGTGTTTGATAAATACTGCAATATGAACAAAATAACAACAATTGAAAGCAATTAAAAAAAAAAAACAGGAAAATAAAAACACATTTTTCACAACGAAATATCCTCATGTATTAAAACAGAATTTTAGATTCATAAATCTGAAGTGCAATCAAAAATTAATTCTAGCAAGTTTTTGCCAATTCATCCCCCCAATAACAGAGTATAATAATCATATCGCACTAAATCTTGAAACAAAAACTGACAATATGGCTTTTATGATGAAAAGAAAGCGCCAAATCAAGAAGGCGAGAACGCTGCTCATTGATTTGTTTGAATCGTCGCCATTCCTCATCCAAATGCATTGCTACATTTTCAATTTGTACTTTTCCATAGTTCCCAATTTCACGAAGACGCTTGGCAACAGTCATCACGTGTGATACATTAACCTCAGTATTCTGCACAATTTACCAATTACTTGACAACAGCAAAATTAAAGTTTTAAAAAGGAGAAAAGGTCAAAATGAGAAAAAAACTAAAATAGTAAGCTAACAATGAGCTTTTTTTTCACTACTTCAATTTTACTTCGAAATTGAAACTGGTGTGAGAAAAAATCCAACATTGGCTGCTGCGATGAAATCAAGATGCTCGGTAAGTAACATTGAAGTTGACTGTTCAGAATCACCGATTTCAAGGAGTCGTTGCGTTGATAAAGCATAATGACTGCGAATCCAATCGAACATCTAAATATGACTTACTTTCTCATAGATAAAAAAGACAACGAAAAAATGTTTTAGAAAACTAAACAAACTCTAAGACAGAAATTAAGAAAAACAAGAAGAGAAAGCAGCTTTTTCGCGGGAAAGTAATCATAAAAATGTTCACTTTATCTGCATCTTGTTCAAAAAGTTTGAGTTGATAGCAATGATCCAGCTTCTGTCGACGTGTTTCCCACTGTACAAAAACTTCATCTCTGGAAAACTATTCAATAAAAATAAAAATATTAAAAAATGAAAATTAAAAAAAAAGACGAAAGAAAAATTCTCCATTTGAATTAATATGACGAAGTGATTTATAAAATTAACAAACTTTGAGGTACGCAGCGAATTAACAAGAGACGTAAGATGGGGCAAGGCAGCAGCAAGGTCTGGATTAGTTGTTAGCAGTACATTTGATGAATTATAACTATCATTGGGTGCTAGACCTGATATCCTCTGTTGGACCTGAAAAAAAAAGTAAAAAACACAGTTAAAAGTGAAACCAGAAAACTCTTGAACAAAGCCTAAAAGCTGTAATGTCTGATATGCAATTATTTGTAATAAATAAGATTTCATGTGCTTACTCGCTCAACATCGTGTTGAATCCTTTCGATTGGTGCACCTAAGATTTTCTTCTTTAACATAACATGTGCTGCTGTGGCACGTTCGGCCGTAGCAACATCAATTGGCATTTCACCATGTTTCATTTCTTCACGAAAATTTTCGAAATTATGCATCACCTCAATTGTTTGCCATATCAACCTTTCCAATTCCTGCATGTTTAGCATCAATTACATTTTTTTTTCTCCAAACAACAGCTATACAAATTCGTGCTTTCAGAAAAATTGATATGAAAAATAAATTTGGAGTCATTGAATACATAAATTTTCATGTACAGTGAAAAATTACACGAATGAAAAATATAATAAAAAACTAGTTACCATTCTTGTTTCAAGCCATTCATCATGATCATAAAATAGTGAACCACCTAAATCACGCGTTAACTGTGATGAATCGATATATCGCGTAAGTCCCTCAACCGAAATCATTTGAATATCGAATTTATATTTCCCACTTGACACCGATGTTTTGTGCTTCTCCCAGAATTTATCTGGTTTAATGATCAAAACAGCATGCACTTCCGCCGGAAAATGCTCCTATAATTCGTAAATCAAATTATTCACATCGTCTATTTTTCCATTACATTCATTTTACTCTATAGTGAGAAGATAAACCGCCACAAATGTCCAGCTTAGCTATAATCTTAAGGAGTCAGAAAAATGGCTGACAATTTCAAATCCTGAAGAATATTATTCAGTTATCAACCTAATTCTTTTTTAAATTTCTTTACAATTTCTCTTTTCCTGAAAGAAAAAAAAACAATATTTGCTTCAAAAGAAATTAATTATTACTAAATGCCCTCCTAAAATGAAATATTCCTAACTACCTGTATAGATTTGAGAATAGGTTTAACATTATTCCATGTCGTGCCTTTCCGCATATCGATGATGATCGTAAATCCACGATCCTTGTAATCATCTCTGAAAAACAATGATCATTCGCGATGTCTGAATAAGCAATTGTTTCCCAGTGTTCTGCCTGTAAATAATTTCATCTACCAACAATTCGCTAGCACTCTATTTATTTTCTCCGGAACCATAAACATTTAAATCATTGCCCTTCTTACCTAGTAGACAAGGTAAACAAAGCGAGGGTTAATATTATTTGATCTCTTATATGAAGTGGATAAAGTATCACGATCTTTAAAATGCTTAATGTAGCTTGCCCAAATTGTGCTAAATGTCATGCACATCCAAAAATTCGATTGCTAAAAAGTTCAGTTTTTCAAATCAACTTGCTTTCACATTTCTAAATTTTGGGGCTTCATTTTTTGAAAACATTTTGCAGAAACTAACGCCGTAACAGCATGGAGATAAATAAGTATATTCCGGATGTAATCGGAATTAATCGATGTAGTATTTTCACGAGCTGGGAAGACAATTACGGCCCGGCCATTCCTATCCCTTGTACCAGGTAATAAGGCCACGCGGTCACGTAACACGTGAAGGATATCCTCAGCTTTAGGGCATCCATCTCGTATCTCTACCATTTGATGATGCAACACTTCCGTCACCACGGACCTTTAATGTCCCAAACTTGATTAAATCTTTGCCGCAACGATCGCCCGTATTTCTGCAATAGGAAGTAATTTCACACAGTGTTCTAAATTAATATAAAACACACACTTCGTCGCTTTCATAAGTAACAGTTAATAATAATAATAATNTCCCAAACTTGATTAAATCTTTGCCGCAACGATCGCCCGTATTTCTGCAATAGGAAGTAATTTCACACAGTGTTCTAAATTAATATAAAACACACACTTCGTCGCTTTCATAAGTAACAGTTAATAATAATAATAATGGTAGAAGTGATGATGTAGTCTCAGACGAAAAACTATAATATTGAGAGCAATCATTAAAGAACAAATAACTATTAATATATATCAACAATAATAACAGTGTTGTTTCATGAAATTTGTAAAAATCATTTGTAGAATTTATGCATATTCTGTATATATTACCTTAACTACAAAACTGAACTTGCCCACGACTACAATATTATAAAATAACAATGATGATAGTGATAACATATATATATATCACAGTAGGTATATATATACCTACTGTGAGTCTTAATTCGTCTGATAATAGGTATGCATGATCAGGAATCAGTTTTACTAATCCTAGGAATTGATAGATATCAAACACATGCAGCAATACTGTAATACCATTATTAAATGTTTGTTAAATGGCTTTAGATGAATATATAACTCTATTTTTCTTCTTTCTTATAAATAACGATTATGCATACATCCTTGAGAGCTTAAGCATAACATTTGTGTTTCTAACTTTGCTTAAATACGTTGGGAAGATCTATAATCTGGATACTTTACTAATTATTTTATTTGTTCTAAATAGTTTTTTGTGCTACAAATCTTAACGTTGCAGAACTGTTTTTGATGCGATGACTCCTCAGATATGTTAGAAGGAGATGGATGAATATCAGCAATTTTTACGTAAGTGAGGCATCTATTTATGAGAAGTCTAAAAAGATATTGAGACTTTCGCTATTTTCGCATATGCTTCTGCTATTCACTGCAGTATTTTCCTTTCTTTCATTATTTAGAAAATTAAATCTGTCAAATTTCAACTTTTGAAGAAATTTCAATTTTCTGACAATAATTTTTCGTTTTGTTTTTTATCATGAATTTCATTTCAAAATGTTCGCATTTTGATGATTTCAGCTTTTAAGATCGTATGATTATTTCTGATACTATTGCAATGTGTGAAAACTATAAATAAAGTATTATTCACCTCTTCAGCAGATTTGGCAAAATTAGGTTATGTGCCTCTTGCACTGAAATTGATGCAGTTGCAAAATGTATACGCTTTTTAAATGCGGAAACAAATAATACAAAAGAATCGTTAATTCATGAAAGAAATTAAAACAAATAGTTCAAAAGAGTTAAAAATGCTCAAAGTAGTACTTATTTTCATCAGATGAGTGTATGTTTCACGAGACACTTTCTTTTGTCCTTTTACTTACTGAATCTTAATGCCATAATCTATTATCATTTTTTACTACACAACTGTAACCAGACTATCGAGTTAAACATAGCTATACAATTTTAAGTGATGACTAAATGAGAATCCACTTCCCCTTTATTCATCAGCCACTATAATCAGTAGATGATGTTCCACCCTTTTACATATGCATATACTCAAGCAATTTGTCCATTTTGCAAATACTTCAAAAAGGGACCTTAATGAAATGATCTGCCCCTATGTCAAAAAAAATCACAGCTAATGTGTTTCAACCATACAGTAATAAAATGGCCATGTTTCTGTAATCATTTTTTCAAATCCTATATTTACTCCATTGTCAGAAACGAAAATATCTTCAGATTCGACTAAATAAACTGTTTAAATGGTTAAACCGTTGGTGAAATAACTGTTATTACTTCTAGGATTATATTTTGCAAAATTTGTCTACTACGACACTTCTATTGTTTCTGGTGAAATAAAAACTCAGCAATAATGACAATTTTACATCACTGGGGATTTTTTGTGATTCCCTCCTTTAAAATTTGCTCTGAACCACTTTATGCGAATGTTAGGAGAATTATAGTCATCATTACTTTCAGTAATTTGTTTTAGTCTGATTCACTATTATCATCATTACCACTAATACAGTTCAACTGTAATTTATTTCACTGTTCACATTCGCAAAAAGGAAGGAAAACTTTTTTGAATTTTTTGTAATTAATGAAGAATTATTTCCATCCTACTTTAGTTCCATCAATGTAAAACGCTTTTAACTTCAAAGTAAAAAATGTAAAACAAATTGATAAAAACTTCAGTAGCACAGTAAAAAAATGACGTCTATAACCTATTGACAAATTGGCTTCAGTGATTAAATTAATTTACTTGAAAATTCCTTTCATGAGTATTAGTATTCCTATTACTTTCATTAATTTTCATAAACTTGTGAGCAGCATTAACATGTCTGCAAAGGCATACTGGCGCTTAAATCTTTTACCTATTATGATTGTTTGATTAGCATTTCTAATTTGCTTGCAAAAAGTCAACATCTCTACGAAAAAGATTGAATCATCCTCCATAATCAATACACTAACTTGTGAGTTATGAGTTGAAAGTCAAACACATAGAAAACATTTGGATAGAGTTCAGTATTTGAATAAAAAATCCATACATACAATAAAGAATGAATGGTGAGAGAAAGAAAAGACAGAAAAGTGACAAAGCGTGAAGGAAGAACAAGCTAACAAGTTTACAACGGGCAATAACAATAAAATAAATTACAAATGAAAAATGCTTGACACTTAGCAAGCAAACATCATTTCAACGAGAATGTACAGCCATCATTTAAAACAGCAAAATAGATGAATTGGAAGGTGCGCACAAAAGAGATAGTATGCTGAGAGGGACGGCACCACTGCGACACTATTGAAGGTGACGCGGGTGACAACGACGTCAACGTCGCTGTCGCTGTTGCTATTGTCATGCGCAGACGACATGCAGCGCGTATGAGCATGGAGAGTGTAGAGGTTGCTCGATGATTGTCCCAGGTGATCCATTGCACTCCCAACGACTAAATGATATGTTGTTGCATAAAAAAAACGTTCCAGCATCAGGTAGATAAGCAGTACTTTGAAAAGAACAAACTTTCCGGTTGGCATTGGCATTGGGGGAGTGGCGGGAGTGGAAGAATGAGATCTCTCTCCGATAATGTAGATACTCCAACGAATACCCATTTCTAAATTTAAATTTAAAAGTTTCTCCCAATATTTCCAGCGATTCATTTTTTGATTCACATGATGTAAAAATTCTTTAATAGATGTTAACCTCGAGAGAGAATAATTAATAATTAGATGATAGTAGATAAAAAAATAAATAAATGAATGCAAATCAAGGATCAAAGAAAGAGCAGCGCGATTTTCCGAATGAAATCTAAAAAATAATAAGAAAATTTCAAAAGAAACTCGTTAAAAATTAGGGAGGTGTTAGAAGATAGTAATAATAATCAGGCAGTTTGATGCACAGTGACTCATCAAATACATTTTATATTCGGTGTCCTTGAGCACACCTGGAAAAATGACAATTCATCGTGGTAATGTTGTTGGCCCTCCTCCAAATCATTAACGACACACAAACATTTTCGACATGAAAACCTTTCTTTCTGTTCCTATTTTGAATAGAAAATTCATGAAGAAACAATTGATTTGTTAGATGACCCTGATGAATATACATATCAGCCCTGTTTATAAAATCTAAATATATAGACCAGCTTAGTTTATGCGTCGTCCATTGTTTGCCACTTGTGCTTTTGTAAATATCCCTACTTTGTTTAATACAGAAACTTATTTCATATATTAAATGTATTTTTGTAAATATCAGTGGTTTCACCTAATGCAACAACAGAACTTGACAATTACGAATTAAAGCACTTTACTGAAAAATTTCTTTTCTGCCCATTATGAATTAAAAGACATTCCAGTGTGAATCATCACATGACCTTGGTAATTGAATGGTGAGAGAGCTTTCCGCAGAATTGAATCATCATCATCATCATCAATAGCTGAAATGAATCAGTGTGAATTATTTTAATCCGATTTAAATTAAATTTCAGCATAAGACTTTGGAAATGGATATATACAAAATTAAGCAAACACTTCATTTCATTTCTATAATTCACTTCTATTCTACTCTCTTCTTTCACAATGTTATTCTCCAGACTTGATAAGATGTCAGGTGGATTTCGTGGAAAAAATTGCTTATTGTAAATTTCATTAATGGTAATAGTCACGCTTGCAAGTCACGCTTGCCAAAATCTGTTACATCACTTCAGTGCTTGTATTCTGCAATTATTGCAAAGCCTTATTTCCAGCGGATTGTTTTTCTCACTCATTCTTCAAAGAACCTCATACTCAAAGTTTGATCATTGTATAAATTATAGAAAAAGTGTCATCAAATGATCAGGGGAAGAATTTACTGATTGAATTAACAATTGTATTTTTATTGCATATTTGTACGAAACAAACGTTTCAGAAAGTGATTCACCAGAAGCATTGCAAGCACACCAACAACAATTTTAGAAACAATTTGGACAATTGCCTGGAAATATTTTCTTAAAAAGACAATACATTAATAGATTTTTTTCTGAAGCTAATAGAATACTGCTTAAAGCGTTTTCATTTTTTCAATAAGATCGATTAGTATTTACATATATCGGTGTATATCTGTCACCATAAAATAGAATATCCATTCATTTTTATCTATCGAAGTTGACCATAAGAAATACTATCTCCAGTATCATACAAAGCCATCATTTTTAACCAAACTGCTCAAGAATTCGTTGAATTTAATGCCAAAATGATTTGTCTTCGTCAGTTTAAAATCTGAATCGTACGAATTTTATGTTTCCCTTTATTTAGGCACATAATACAAATATTTGTACTGTCCATGTCGCGATCAGCAAATGTATCTCAAGTAAAAAGACAAAATTTGTGATGGGTTGAGTGCTATGCCTTAAATTCTGTCCATATCATTGAATCTGAATTAGAGATTAAATTTAATTTCAAAAAAAACTTGTACTATAGCGCAAGAAATGTTAGAAAATTGAAAAAACAGCTATTGTAACTCAATTTTTTATATTGACATATAGAATTAGTCATCTATCAGAATTCAGAATTAGTCATCTACCATGCAAGAAAATAGGATTAGCAGCACCTTATCTTTTATCATATCTAGCATTATTTGTTTGTCCAACAATTCGACTTCCTACATTAAACAGGTAAAGAAATGTTGCCGAGAGAGTTTAACATGTAAAACAATATGTACTATATATATACATGTACTATATATATATATATGTATATATATATATATATATGTTGCGTTCGAAATGTGAAATGTCAGGAAAGGCCAATCCAATCTTTTACTTATAATTTTTTTTAAATGAATATAATATTTTAGAGGAACGATTCAGACTGAAGTAAAGTGGCCTGAAATAGATAGGCATACTGTAGTTATAAGCTGCTTGTTATTACATCTCAATAACACTGCAAAGTTTTATTTTAGAATATGCAAAATTTTTTATATTATTGTAACATAGCTTAATCCGAACTTCTCTAATAACCAGACTTCCTCTGTAAAATATTTAATGTTAAATAGACAGTTTTGTTTTTAAATTGTAGTCGTATTTATTGTTTTTTTTTCTGTTTGTATTCTATCCTTTCTTCATCCGTATTTCTTCTGATGCTTCTAATTAAATCGTTTATTGAATAATGATGGCCTATCCGGAACGAAAGAAGATAACAGTATTGTACCTCTGATAGAGCTTTTTCTTTTCTATGATAAAGTTTTTTGGAAAAAGAAGTATTTTTCGCAATTTAAAAAAATGAAGCCCAATTTTAAGAAATAATAGCATTACAGAATTGCTTTTTTTCTTTCTGTTCAGGGAGAAATAGTTAGAACATACCCGAAAATCTCAACAATTCATTTATCTCCCATTGCTATCTTATGCATTGCTATTACTACCAGAAACTTTTAAAAACATTTTTTGAAAATTAATCAATTTCTTGTGCAAACTACAGTTTTTTTTAAATCTCGATTTTTCTAACCTCCTTCAAGATCCGTTTAAAAAATTTCTTCTTAGAAAGGAATAATTAGAACTGATTACTGACTAATAATTATAACCATAACTGATTAATAATTATTAACAAAAAGTAAATTCTTAACTACTCTCTGACATACCTATCATAAAAGGGGAATACAGGATAACAGACAAATTGCATCACTATCAAAACACGGCTCTCAAATTTTCTTGGTTTTGCATAAAAGGTAGAATAAATCACTTTAACTGCATTTAAATATTTATGGAGTGCGAGAGGAATTGCTTCTTGGAAGAGGAAAATAAAAAATGAACAACATTTCAAAAATAATTTTTTATACGATCTTGAAATCTAAAAGCTTTATCATTCACCTAGCTTATCAACTTTATTTTTGTATGCAAAATACATGAACAAATTACAGAGTTTGGCTGGAAATATAAACACCGTGTCATTTATATCTTGCTGAAATGAACAATGATTGAAGACATTCACGCAACGCAGTCGTAGAAGAGTTCGGAATAACTACTCTTCCCCTAATAAATAACGTTACATGCTGATTCAAAATTATTTATTTTCAGGACCGAAATACCAAGGCTGACTGGAAGAAGACTCCTTTATGTATAAATATCACGTGGACTTTTTCAGGTATGCAGAGGTATATAAGATTTTGCAGCAGGAGAACTTCAAGAAAGTTTTGAAAAACTTCCACTCAATCTTCGAGAGCAGAAAATAGAGGTCATAGAACGACGTAGTAAGTAGTTGAGCCATACACTATTTTTACGGGTATCTTTTCCTGTCTTGTACGGAGTTGGTTATGCAGCATTAAGAGCCATATAACACTTTTCAATGTTCGGAGGTCGGAATGTCCTGGCCTTGTCGGAGTTGTGGATATGTTCACAGGACCGAGTTTCCCAACGTGCCTTCCTCCATCACTGCTCCTATGTTTCGTTTTTATTTATTGATACTAGTTCCATCTATCATTGGAAAAAAAGCTGCTGCCTTCATTGTGTGTCAATTATTCTTCTGAGCATGCTAAAATGCCTTCCTGATTGAGTTCCCATTCTAGTTCAAGGACGTCTCATGGCGAAATTCTTTCACTTTCACTAAACTCAATGTCTCTCAATCCCTTACACTGCACTGAATATGGACCGAGTCTCTCTCTCCACATGTATATGGAAATGTGCAAGTATTATGCTTTCTCATTACTTACCGCTTTTCTGAAGGAGGAAAGCATGTATTTGAAAACATTTTCAGACTCAATTCTCACTGTCACAGAATAGCCACTCAAAACTAACACATTCACACCTAAGTAGTGCTACAAAATATAGCAAGACAAATGGAAAATGCTTATGTCTCCTTACCCACTTGTCCTTTTGTTTTTTTTTTGTTCATCGGTTCTAATAGCTGACAGTTTTGGCTTCACTCTCCAGAATGCCTCATATTAAATTCATTGTAAGTCAATTTTTCCTTTAAAGCAGTTTTTCCGACCTGCTAAGTATTAAAAGAAAGTCACTCATCACGTGCATCTGTACACACCATTAAGATCCTGAAAAAAAAGAATCACAACTATTTCAAACATGGAAATATGTGCACACACCATTAAGATCCTAACTGAGGATAATATAACCGATAAGGCTCATTCATAACAAAACCACGGGGTACCAAAGAAAAAGAAAGCGGTCATCAGATGAGAAAAACAGCGAATGACCGCAAATATGAAATTACAGAGTTGAGGACGCGGAAACGGGAGGAGGGAAAGAAGGCGGTCGAAACAACGCCTAAAGTTTAATATTTAGCGATCCAACAATCGTTTTTACGTGTAGTTGACGCTCGGTCTGACACATGGAAAAAAATCACTTACCAGACCAAACACACATGAAATTGCTTTGAGAAGTCCTACTGCCATTTGAAGAAAAGTCTCAATTCCACTTACTGGCTACCTGGCCTGGTATTGTCTTTCTCAGCTGAGGATGAATAACAGAGGACACAGCACCAATGTAGAACAACCGAAGACAGTAAGACTTCCACCATGCGAGAACAATTCCAGTTAGGTTCTTTTTGCTTTTTCTACGGATTGAGGAAAAAAAAATTTTGTTTGTTATCAAAAAAATATTCCTTTAAATTGAATACGTATCAATGGAGATATTTAAGTAAAAGTTTTATTCCCATGAAAACCAAATTGCATTAATAAAAACATGTTAAAACACATTAGTCTTAGAACAAGCTTCCATCAATACTGGACAACGAAATAAGCAAATCAACAAACCAAACAAAAGCTCAATAAGACGTGAGCCCAAGTGCACCGAGCTGCACGAAAACGAAAACGCAAGTTAATCCAAGTTCGAAAACACGTTGCGGGAAAGCACCAGCATCAATAAAAAGAACGACAAAAGAATTTGATATAATAGCAAAATAACGTCATCTAACTTTTTTCACCGTCTAAGGTAATGATCAAAATACTTCGTTCTACATTTCACTAAGCTGCATCAACCATATATCTCCACTCACTCCTTCCCTCCCCCATATATTTTGGTTTTTTAGAAAGATATACTATATCCAAAAAATTTGAGATTTGTAAGCTTTTCGAATGTAACAAATCGTCAAATCCTTAATGAAATACTGGTTGCAATACATCAGAAAACTCAGAAATTGAAAACTCCGCACTCCTTTTCCTCATCTTCTTGCTTCAGTTCTACTAAGCAAATTGTTAACTGAGTTTTGAAGAGAAACAACTAGACTGGAACACAGAAAACGTAACGAATGATGCCTAATGATTTGCCTCATGAGCCATAATATCCATTTCTGCGCATTATATCGTGATCTCATAATATGTAACAATAACTCATCTAAGAAAGCAAAATTACCAGCGGAACCAGTTCGTAATTAAAAATAAACAGTGCATACACAAATTCACAGAAAAAATGATATAACCATAATGCATGGTACAGAAACATAATGAATGATGCAGAAATTTTGATAACAAATCTATAAGATGCAAAGAATCAAACCGAAAACAGCCGACAGAGAAAACCATTCTTTGAGAAACACTCGGTAACAATGTACGACCATAGAGACATACCGCAGAGATTTGGATATTAAAGTTAGCATTGGTCTTCATAACTGAAACCTAATGAAAATTGCCTCTATGCACAAAAACATCACTTACCAGACAAAGATATCATTATTCACTAATTTAAAGCAGCAGCATTACTTCTAATTCAAAAACAGACCAGTAAAATTAAATTATTAATTTCTTTTTAACCAATTTGAAATTTCCTGAAAATATCGTATCTGAAAACGCATCTACTTTTTTCGGCTCCTAAAATTTTTCTTTCTCTCGCTATTTTATCAAAGCTACTTTCCAATTATTAATCGAATACACTAAAGCTCGTCAGAATCATAAGCAATAACTAACGGTGGTGTATCACTGCCACTTACAGATTTCTTTGGGTCAAAAGAATTCGTTTTCGGAATAACAGATGCTTTGCTCGCGGTTCCTAATGTAATTAATGCATCAGAATTATAAGTGACAGTTATGACGGAAGTGCTCGATGAAGGAGGATCAACTTCAACCTGCTCATCACCATTTGCCCTCGTTGCTGGAATTACGGTTTTCACAATTTCCGTTGTCTCAGTTTCTTGAATCTCCACTTTCGCAGCAACGATCTTCCTGAAGCAGACAATCAGTCAAACAATCGCAGATCATGTTTGGAAAGAAAAAGTCAATTCCAAGTGCTACATGGGAAAAAAATCATTGTGAACCTTCGTTTGCTGGATGAGCCACTCGACGTCCTTTTCTTACATTTTGTAATGATGTTGACCTCACCAAGGTTAATTTTTTCTTTCATAAGCACTTCGTGAACTTGCGAAGACAATTTTTTTTCAAAATAGCCTCTATTAGGGAGACATGAGATGATGGCATTCGCTACAGCCTTATGGTACTTGAGATCTGGACGCATGGGATTGAACCTGAACATTACAGCAATCAGTGAAGCACATAAACATGCAATAATTCTACATTAACAGTAACAAATCTTGGAAGAAATGGATCCTAATAATATTTTGATCAAAATATACGTCCGCTTTCATTCACTATATAATAAGAAAACTTTCTTCACAAACCTTGTTTCATAGGATTCAGCAAATCTTTCGATTCGAGAGAACTCGATAAAAGGAGTGTACGTATTATCACCATACCACACAATGGATGCTCCACTTTTTTTATTTTCTTTCACAAACTCGTGAATTCGACCTGGCCAATACGGAAACATTCCGTTCCTAGCCCACACAATATCACCAATGCTAAAGCCATTATTCTCTATCGGTGCTGCTAGAAAGTTACCCGCAATCCCAGTTTTTGCTGCACACATCTCCTGAGCACTTTCTTGCCTTCCAGTTAACAAATATGAGAAATTTTCTGTTGAAGACATACAATTTTTCACACTAAATTCACCTTTGTCATTCCCACGATCAAGGTGCTGCAAAAAGAAAATATTAGGCATAAAGCTTAACTGAGACATAATGCTAAAGTTGATATGCCAAATTTATGGCATAATTCATGTAAATCAAATCCTGAAATTCACTGCGTGTTATTCATACGTGAGATTAGGACATTTAAACAGTTACATCCCTTCATTTTTTCGAATTATAAAATACCCATATACAAGCAATAAATTTTATAATACTAATCAGTCAGAGATATAGGAGAAAACCATTACTGCCAATCACTAATTTATTTAAGGGAATTAAAGCCTAGTGAGTTAATAGATGTAATACAACTGAAACGTGCCATCACGGCACAATAAACGATTTATATCTAGACTTCTGCTGAAGCTTAGTCAACGAATAATACAATTTTAGTTATGGTGAAACAAATAACTCACAGTCTTGACTTTTGTTGAAGTAGCTTTAATCATTGGTGGACATCCAGCATCTGAACGTCTTTGTGGGATTGAAGAACGAATTTTAAAGACAGCTTTTTCAATAGCTGGCGGATAACGGAGATCAGGTACCGAACGCATTGAAGCTCGCGTAACGCCATCGGTAGTATTCACAGGTGAAGAATACTGCATTTCACCTTTTGCTCGGAGAGGTGGATTCATTTCACACTTTTTGACTGGCTTTAGCACAATTTTAATTGGAGGCCGACGCGGATCACTGCGTCCCACTGCATTACTCCCAGTTTCGGCTTTACTTGAAGCGAGACGAACTTCCTCCATTACATCGAGTTCCTTTTTTTTCATTTCTGGAGAATGATGAGGAGGAATAGAAGAGCTAGCAGTGAATTGAATAAGTGAACGATCAACAGAAGGCACGGCAAATTGCTGCTGGCGAAAGGAATCCGTGCTTGGTAGACGCAAACGATGTCTGAAATAAAAAGCACTTAAGAATAAAATGAAGTTTAAAACAAAATATGTAAAGTAAAACATTAAAAACGACAGAAGCATAGAACGGTAATTATGATAATAATTGTCTGAATTTTGAGATGCCAAACTCCATCCACATCTCAACATGCTACCTTAAATTGTACTTCTATAATAAAGCGTTGGATAGAATCTCGGCAGAACAATCACCAATAAAGCGTATAAACGTACCCGGTCGGTTGACATATATCGTGTTCATTGGACTGCCGAACGAATGTCATGTGTAACGAATCACTGACTGGTTTCCTTATCGAATACTCTGTCGAAAAAGCTCTTCGAATTTTGTCACTTTTGAATCGACGAGTGGAGCCACTGCTAACATTACGGACATCTTTTTTAGTTGGCTCAGGATTGCTGCTCGGAAGCGAACCAACTGTTCCGCTGGATGCATTATTCCTTATTAGGTCCGAAGTAGCGCGACGATTTTTTGTCGTTATCGAAGGCAGCAAGCGGTTCTCAAACAGTGGTGAAAAAAATACAGGAGAAATATTCTAAACCGCTGTCACAAAAGGTGTTGTGGGGGCATAAAAATTTTTAGCACCAACTACTAATTCAGAAATAATCCATTTGATAAAAAAATTCTCCCTATAGCACAATGAGTGGTTCACAATTATTACCAACGAATACCCTCACCATTTCAATACACTAGTCCTCAGTACAATAAGACATTGATAGAAGGTAGTTTTGACTACTTCAGATTGAGCATTTCTTTTTTAAATCAAGCCTCCCCGAGTTGCACAACTCGTTTTCAAATCATCTGCCTAAAAGTGATCATCACAAGGGTAAAATGCCAATTGCAGTATACCTTTAGACTCTTCACATAGATACTTCAGCATACGAATGGAAATGCGACATATTTCACAAAAGCAAAACATAAATAAATGAAGATATTCTCATTAAATATCCCTGGATGGCAGTAGTTTTACTTTCCACAGATCTACCAGCAAATCACTATTTCAATTAAAATTTCTCCTTGAAATTATATGCAATTTTTGAAATACTCAACTTATCCCTATTTTGCGCAGACATTATTTAAAGGAATATATTAATTATTTTTCCTCTCAGTGTATTTTGAGATTTGACAAATGAGTTATCGTAACTTACATTAAAGCTTCATTGCGTATGTATAAAAATAAAGTGGAAGAAAAAAACTGTCATAGATTTTACCTTTAAGATGAAGCATAGATTAAAATCGAACCAGAGATGTTCTCTTCTTATAAGAACTTGTTTTCCTATCTATTAAAGAGCAAACACACACAGCTATTGAAACACGTATTCGGCTTATTCATTTAAGTATTGGAATATCATATAAACAGGCAAGTCTATATTTTCATCAAGAAATTCGAGCCCCTCCCCATCCAGTAAACCCCAACGAAGCTTTTTACTTAAGCCTTATTCACGAGAGGAATTATGAACGTTGCAGCAGATGAAAAAACTATAAGATGAACACATACTAGATTTTAATGACTACTTCACACTAATTAAGAAGACAAAAGAATGATAAATGATGAAGAAATGTGCCATAAAATGGTTAGTGATAATGTCCAGAAGAATAGCCATTGAAACTTAATTATATGAAATCTGTACTTTGAAAGACTTCTGTTGTCTTTTACGTTCAAACTGTATCTAACAAACAACAAATACCTTAGCATGTTTATGTGAAGGTTCAACGTTGCACAACCCTTTCGCTGAATCTGTAATTAAATTACCATTAATCAGAGACGAACTTGGGACAAATAGCTTGAGATGATACCCTGCAATCCATCATACTTCAAGCTTTAAAGCTTGTAGTCGAAATACTTCTAACACATTTATAATCCTTCAAGTTGAAAATGTGATAATGAAGTTTATCAATGAAATACCACTTGAAGGCCCGGGAAGAGGGTCGTATTCTGGTTCGAATAAATCCACTCCCGCGGGAACCAAGACGCTACAGGCACCGCGTGGAACATATGCTTTCCTCTTATTCCTTCTTCGTAATGGTGCTGAACTCACGGAGGCATCTGAGGAATAATCTGCTGTTTCACCGCTTAAATGTTCGTCCAACAATTCATATCCAACCTCATCAACAACTATCTGCAACGGTAATCTGTCAACCGATAGCCACTAACTCGTTTTTTTGGAAAAAGACTCATTACGCAATCCCGAAGCCAACCATAGCCTTCCACAGCAACATCGTATCTTTTGTCGACCTAAGAACTAGAGGTTGTAAGATGATTTCGAAGAGATGATTACTTTTCTAGAGAATCTAAATAGCTAACACTTTTTCACTTCATGAAGCACGCGTCCTTATTGTTCTCTTTGATCCATAAAGATACCACTTACTAAACAGTCTTTGTGGAACTTTCGAGTTATGATACAAAAGATTGCCTAACGTAGAAATGTAAAACAGTGGGTAATCAACACGATGTACAGCAGTGTAAAACTACAAATGGCGATAAGTTGACCTGCAGAACCACAAAAGCATAGTGTGACACGACAAACAAGCGGAAATTGGTGTATTCTGTTGAACTTCTTTAGATTTGATAGTGGACTAAAGAAAAGATTAGATGAAAAACATGCATTTGAAAATTATCTAAGAAAATGTAAAGCAAAACATCACTACTACCAATTAACGATACAGGCCAAGATGTACAGACAAAAAGAAACATGCATATCAGACAATACTAACCAAATGAAACATAAAGAACGCTTGAAGAAAAAATGGTCCCTATAGAAAGGAACCATGGAAAGAGTGAATGTAATCGATCTTTTTTTACTGCTACATTTCAGTTAGTTCGCAAAAAAAACGAAGAAACTCCAAGCAGTAAGCAAGATCTTGAAAGTTTAGAGAGTTTGCAGAGTCCAAGAAAAGAGAATAGCAAATCCCAAAGGACAAATTGCGTATGGAACAAAAATAAAGATTCGTCAGAGAGTGAATTTTATTTTGTTTATCTTACTTAATCTTTTTTTTCACAAAGAAGAAATACATAATCCTCATTTTAAGCAATCAATAAGCTCTGCTGGACTAATGACTGCGAGTAATATCTTTTAATTAACAAATTCAATCTCATTATATTTATTTCCAACAATTTCTACCTTTCGTCAAAACACCGAACTAATAATTAAGTCCGAATAAGCCTAGTCTTTTAAAGGAAGCAAACTGCAGAAGGGAAGTAAGAATAACATGGAACCATTTCTTAAAAAAGAGCAATAATTCTGAACATTATAAGTTAGATTCGAAGTAATTTTCGTAACATCTATTCTGTCCAAACATTCCAGTCGTCTCTGCAGTTGTAAGAAAATAAAAGAATCGAAATACTTTAATCATCCCGATATTTTTATGAAAAAGCAAAACAGGAAAAAACATAGTTTAAAAACAGTTTTATTGAACCTAGCATATTCTAACGTACTATTTCCCGTAAACATGCAGTTATTCATGCACAACTATGACATTTAATTGCCCTCCTCCTGAACAATCTCAATGTCCTCTTCCACTACTAATAGCAAAGCAATCTAAAACGCAACAGTGACATATACCTGTTGATATCTACGTAACTACCATTTAAATTATTGCAGCACAGTCAGTAAAGCCAAAACATGCGTCATAAAAACAGACCGGTTTTTCTGAAGGTGGTAATTGAGCCACTACACGTTTCGTCTCTTTGGGAATCGATTGCAGTTTTCGCTGATTGGCATTAACAAAGTGTTTGCGTGTTATCTCAAAAAACTAATAGTCATAACAGTGGATTTTTTGAAATAAGGTCAAAATTTAGGGCATACTGTTTAGCTCAATGCACAATAGACAATTGAAATTTCCGATATACTATGATAACACTTCTCCTTCATGATGAAAATCAGAGTCAGGAACTTGATACAATCATAGAGGATCCCAGAAGAATTTTATGCAAGGCATAGGAAAGTGTTATGAATATATGCTGTGTGCCTCTAATAAAACCAATGGGTAATCAATATGAATTTAAATGAAGCATTAACCATTTCATTATCTGGAATCGCTTCCATACAACTGGCACAAACCATACGACCGTTTTTGCGCATATAGCTCCGAGCGCGCAGCTGGAGACCAGATGTAGTAAAACGCTCACCAATTACAGATGTCCATTGGTCAATGATAGGTGCATCCACATAGGCTTTAACTGTTTCCCGAAATCTTGACATATCCTCACTGATGATACCCGGTGTACCATTTGCACTGCAATTAACTAATCAATGGAAATCCAATCCCTGCATAAGCATATTTATTGCAAGAAAACTTCGCCTCAACATTCCACCTCTGTCATTCTTACTCTGTAATTTGGCTCTTGACCTGAAACGCACACATTTATCATGCCCGTATATATATATAAAGTCAAATAAGGTCACAACCTTGAAGCATAAACGCTGCAATCTTGCAGAAAAGAAAAATGATTTTTTAAATACGTAAGGCACTTACCCGTTCTCAGCAAGAAGAATACCCGTATATTTCGTATGCGTGCTTTCTTGTTTGTACTGTACCACCAAGACACCCGGAGATGAGCGTATAACTTCGGCTTCAATTACCTGTGGTGTGTTTGAGGTTTCTGCTGAAGCGGTCTCTGCTGAAATTATAACTAACAATAGTAGAATTTTCGGGAGCCTATAGCAATGCATTGCATCGACTGCATTCATATGCTTCTGAGGCATACCATATAAAAATTTTATATGTGGCAGTGGAGTCATTATGAAATCGTTTCAAGCATCCATAAATAATATGAATATAAAAAAAACAGAACGTAATAAAACCAAGAAAATTATATTTCAGGGAAAATCCAAAAAGCCACAAAAAGATCAAAGATAATATAGAATATGTGAAGTGGCTTCCAGTTTCCAATCTAGTTTTTAGTTAAGAGCCAAATACTGAAGACACAGAAAGGAAAATGTAGACACGTACAGACAAATGCCATGTATTCGTATACAAACTCAGATAAACATAAATTATTTAGAAACAGAATTTTTCTGATTTGTTACTGAAATATCATGACTTGATTTACGAAAATTCTTGAAGTAAGAACAGTTATAATCTACATATGCTAGCCACGCGTATGCAGAGGAATGAACTCGGAATGCGCTTTTCCAAACATATAGTTTATCAGATGACCTCCAAGAAAACCCGAGAAATCATAAACTTACAAGCTTTCGGAGGTGCGCTCGTCCCACGCTGTGCCGTCGTTTGCATACGAAGACTGGCGGAGAGGTTCATTTCGTAATTTTTACGGTGCTGGACAATCTGATGACGCTGTTTCTCGGTAGGTAATGGAAATCGACCCATGCTGAAACAGTACACATTAAATCTATTATCTTAGCAAAATACTAACATGTATACAAAACTCGCAACACCGGAGGCACTAGACGTTTTACTAAACCAGGAAGACCACTGAAGACTAACAGCTGACCGCTCTGAAACAAGTGTGTCATACCATCGGTAACGCAACATTGAATAAAACAAAGCCCAACTAGCAAGCTAAAGTTTTTCTGCTGAAATGAGGAAAGAGCTTATATATTTTTAAAGCTACTTAAAGCGATTAAGTGATAGTAAGCCCACGACAAAGCCTAAAGTAGAGTTAAAATCTAAGCGTAACTTCAATTTAATCCGAATCTCGAGCTATGTTCAACTCTCTATACAGATGCCGTTCTCGTTATAATCGAGATGAATAGATTACGAGCACTCACCACATTTAACGATCTCAAAATCCAGGGTCATCACAAAAGCATTTCCTAAATCTACTATACTAGTCCAATCAATCTGTAACGACTCCACTTCCATAGCGCTAGCCTATCTGCTGATTTCTTAACCAGTTTATTCAAAAAAAAATCCGTGTTACATTGCACGATGTACTATTGCAAATATACTGAAATAGGATATAAAGTTCAGCAACATATATTATAACATTTACAGGATATGAGACCTTATAAAATTAGAAATACAGAACAAGATCTGAGAGAAGTTAAAAAGTGCTTCCTCCTTCTCGAAAATAAATTGAGAGACAGCCACAAGGAAAGAATTATCACAAAACAATGTAGAACTGTTTAGTTTATAAAGAGCTTTCAACTTAAGCATAAGAGCATGCGTTAAACATTGAAATTTGCATAGAATCACTTTGTAAAGTAAATTCTTCTATTCCGCCCATGACCTTGGAATAAAATATGTACACAGATAAACATCTATTCTAAAATCAATCCAGGACCCCGCGAATTTGTTAAATGAACCGTATGAAGACTGTAAGCTGTACATTTTTTCACGTTCACTCAAATTTCGAATGTAGTAATGACAATAAGCAGTGTTATGTTTGAATTAAACTGTCAAGAATATTATAACTATGTCTGAACAATCCCATCTCCCTATTTTAAGTACAAAAATTGAACTTGAAAGAATATTCGGATGTGTTGCAGCTGTTACAGCTGGGATCAGCATTACCATGAAGTCACTAGGTGACATGGAACAGCCCTGACGCGCTCTATAAACATGTCATGTACATTGAGGATGAGCAAAACATAAAACGATCAATGCATTTTGTAAAATGCTGGTGAAGCATCCAGACTTCTGAACAAAACAGAAGTTCGCATTAGACTTTTTACCCCCTCCTATTTTTAACGATGATATAGCAGCCTTCTGATTTTTCATAACTTTCCGCTCGTTCCTTTATTACTGAAGCTCTCAAACGTCTGTTGCAGTTATCACTTTCGATTAGCGTCATACATCCTGCTCAGTATCACCACCATGTGCCATAATCTACTTCCATTGATTGCTCTGTAAATCAAATTTCTTTCAAAAACAGAATCTGCGAATGAAAACAAATGGATAGGAAAAGACGAATGTAATCTTTCAATATACATCTCTTGCAACATAAAAAAGAATGAGCCAACCTGGAAAACATCGATATATGTGACTATAAAAGATATTCTTGAAAAAGACACAAAGGCAAAAGCAATTTCTTGTCTATGAAATTAATACAGTGCATACTTTTTCCAGCAGTATCTCTATCTTCCCCCTCAAGTAAAGATAAATAGTATAAAGGTACAAATCAAAGAAAATAAGAACATCTAAAAACAGCACTCAATATCTACATAAATTATCACCACCACCAATTCTTTGAAAATTGAAAAACTAAAAGCGGACAATCGAAGTAAGATTTTGAAGATATATTCATCAAATATATGATTCAGTTTCTATAACAACTGCTTTTATGGGTATACATGACTTGACAAGTACACAAACAGCTGTTCACCTTCAAAAATGAACCAGAATCAAACCGATATATCGTGCAAGCCACAGATGATATTGACACCACAAGCACTGCTATGTTTCGATGCTCAATTCAACATAACGCCTGTGAGCTGAATTTCCTTCACATGCACCACTTTAACTAACTCCAAACTTTGCACAAATAAAAAGTGCAGAAAGATCAGCACTAAGAAGCATCGGGAAAAACAAGGAATTTCGAGAGTTCCTAAAGCACAGACCTGATCAAAAAGGAAAAATGATTCAAACCCATAGAGAGCGACTCAATAAAAATGGATAATTTCAGTTCAAAAGACATACAACCCAACCTTAATTTGTAAAGATTGTAAGAGAAGTGACAAAAACATGAAACCCGAATCAAAGATTCAGCTTCATCTGACATATCTACGAAACAGAATGAAGCAAAGATGTCCCTGCGAACTAGATAATCCGATTCAAAGCACATCGTAATATCCCAGCACTTTCTCCTCAGGAAATAATAGCTTATGACCAAAACTGGTTCAAAAATTTCCGAAATGATTCTACCCATCACCACCTCAAGATAAAACCAAATTCCCCGCTTCATCACATAAATACAAACAACAAATAAATTCCAACCTCTACACGAAACACTCATAACTGTATCGCTAACTTTGAACGACGGCAACGTCGGAATTTTTTTGCTTTTTTTATTATGAACCATTATTCGGCATTTAGAGCGCAATGACGACCACCTATAAATAGTAATAAGGTTTATGTTCAGAATGAAAACGATATCGCAATTTGATGCACGATGCAATCGCATCTAAACAGAACGGCTAACGGTGTACACATATACATTTTTATTACCATTTTAGAAAATTATACCGCACAGGAATGTTACACTTTGTCACTTCAATTCACACATTAAATACATAATTAAAATGAAATTTCTACACGCAAATTTATAAAAATGGACAATTTAAGTCTGGCTATAAATGATATAAATGGTTCAAAACACATATAACCCAACCTTAGTTTGCAAGGATTGTAGGACAATTGACGAAAACACTAACTGGCAAAAGCCAGTTTAGATTCCCTTTCAAAGACCATACTGAAAACAAAACGCTACAGTAAGAAATCAGCAAATAAATTAGTGTGCCAAGACCAAACCAACAATATCGTATCTTCTCTTTGCAGAGAACTGATACTAACACAAGCAATACTTTCTCAAGCAAATATTTGTAGAAGCAACATCAAACATCAAAAAACAGACACGAAAAATAAGAAACAAAATCACATGAATTAGTTTAGAAATCCAGATCCAATTTTCGCACATTCAACGATCTACCTCACCAAAAACAATATCCATTGTACAACGACTGCGATTACATAAGAAACCAAACTCATATACGTTAAGTCGTGTAAACCAGCCATATGCAGCAAATCTGCAAAGTTCCAGCTAATTCTATTTCAAAATAGCAAAGAATTCATACAATCCAAGACTTTATCCGTAATGGTCGACTGAAACAATTAATAAGAAATAAATTAAAAAATAATTTCAGTTATTTTGTTGAACAGGAAATATGTTAAAAAAGAAACGCTACCTGCCAAAGTCGATTTCCGACAAGCATGTCTTCCATATCGATATGTTGCAAAAATTGGATGGCTTATTCATAAATGCCGTCTAGCAGATCAAGTGGCAAGTTCCACACTACTCGACTTACCTTATGTAACTGACATGTATTCTTGCTTCCGAGACTTCACTGAAATCAGACTTACAGTCTCATCAAATCATCAGTGAAATAGCACTTCTAGGATTAGATATGAGCAACTGATTGAACTATGATAAAGGATGCTACTTCTATTTATTATGATAATGCGTCGACATGCATCGAACTGTAGACTGCAATAGAAACATGAAGACATTAGTTACTTATATACAATCGAAAGGGATTTACATGATCTCCAGACGCTACTACTATTTCTTCTTTAAGCATTTAAAGAGCAACCGAATGCAAAATGAACTGGTCTATCTTCAATAGTAAGTCGCCTCAAAAAACCACTGTGCGAGCTTTCGCTAAAAGATAACATATCTTGCACAACAACGTCAAGAAAAACTGTCTAAATTTATCGCTCCTACGGTTATTTCTAATAAGCTTAAAGCATTCAGCTTTTATCATCAAATTTACCTCAGCAGTGGTGTAGCGAGAGATCTGAACTCGATTTTTTCATGGAGGAGGAAACAGAGAAAACTAGAGCAGCTGTGAAACCCAAAAGGTGTGAGACGACTGCTTTAAATGAAAAAATTTGAACAACACAGTTATTCTTTCAACATCGGAAGCGATCTCGATAAAATAACGTGAAACGCTAAAAGGAAACGATAAAACGAAATTATACTTTCCATCAAATTTATGAAAACATTATGGCGATTACTGCTGATAACTATAGACACGTCATTGACATTTCTCGAGTGTGTGAAAAGGACGAACATTTGCAAATCTCAAAAAACCGATCTCACAAAGGAACGGCTTGAAAACCATTCTAAGGGTGAAAAAAAAAAAAGAGTATGAACTTCTAAGTATTTTCTCTACAAACTGATTAGAAGAAACACAGTAAACACTCCAAGCTATTATATCAATGGATAATGACTGCTTTACATGGGAGTCATGACTCCACAACTAACTGGTCAAGCTAAGAAATTATGAAAAGGTCTGATTCTGTTCAAGTCACAAATCCTGTTCTGTCATTTGAACTCTACATTCACTAATAGCAGATACATCAAGCACTAATTAAATCAAAGCTTCTGCAATGAAGCATTTAAAAACTGATAGTACGGGAGAAACAAACTGCGTCCATAATTTCAAGTACACGAGCCGAAAACAAACTAGCACAAGTGCTAGAAACGCGAGGACAAAAAGCCGACATGACGGAAGTGCAACATAAGATGTTGCCATTCCAGAACAACTTAACAGAAATCTTGAGTTAGCGAGTGACGCACATATGTGTTACAGTCAAAAAAAGAAATCTTAAAGACATGTCCACAGACCGAAGCTGGCTCTGTAAAAAGTGAATGAAAAAGTCATTTACTTGAATTCAAAAGGTCCTTCACATTTTTCAGACATCCAGAATAAAGACTACATAGCAACAATATTGAGTGAATGGGTCACAATGCTGAATGTGTGATTTGAAAGACGATTTGATTCAGCAAATAATGCTTCAAACATCCAAGCTATTACATACAAAGTAAAACAAATACTATAAATTTTTACTAGAAAAAAAAAACATATTGCGAACCAACTTAGCTCGAAGTGGTATTTCAATTTCCAACATCTTTTCAACAACCAGTGACAAGATCTATTCAATTGGAAGCATCGTGATATAATCCAAATAATCAAAATATGGAAAAGTTTCGATCCTCTTGTATTCAATCAATTTTTTTGAGTAGCCCAACGTGAAGTGTCGCCATAACTATCTATAAAAAACAAACACACAACATAAATAACCACGCTAAGCAATATCTTAACTACTCCTGCCAGTGCAGAAACGAAGATTTTCGCAATCTGTCCCCGCAATACAACCTTTACAGTACCACTGCGTCTTTGCACTTTCACAAAACCTATGCCACTATCTCTTCTACATAGCCCTGGATGCAACAACCGATATCTCTTTAAATGTTTGTCAACATTGACCAACCAATCCACAGCGACCACAGACTGCTTAGAATGGTGGATAGTTCTAATCATGATATATAGCACTCAGCAAATTGATCTTGAAAGGCATCGAATATTGATTCTATACGGCAAATGATTACCTTCCTCTCACAACAGCAAGATGTCAGAATGAGTCGTCGTTTTTAGCCAATGTATTCACTATTTGCATCCAATAATGTAAGTTACCAAATCATATATCACTAAAGTGAAAAAAAGAAATTTTTTTCCGGACAATGAAATACAAAGCATTGCATGAGTTATAGATCATATTAGGTCACAGCTGAAGTAAGGAGACATCCGAAGTCAGACTGGACAAAGGGGCTGAAAAACATATCAAAATAGTGGCTGCTGCAAAATCGGAAATTTCCTATATCTGAACACCATTCCACGTTTCTAAACCATTGCAGTAAGCGTACCTTTAAATGTAAAAATACCCAAAAATACATCTCAAAACATTCGCAATTTCCTTCGCTTGAAAATTCGTCTTTGAAGTATGAAGTATCTCAACTGGGTGTTCATCGTACGATTTGACAAATGTTAACAGGGAGATAGAGAAATTTTTGATTTCTGGCTGCGACCGAAAAATCCTCTATAAAATTCTATGGCACTGTTGCTAATAGATTAAAGAATATAATAAGCATTCAGTACTTCGACTGAATGTTCTCATTTTAACGGAGAACGAAATCATCAAGATAACTGATAAAGAATCTCAAATGTCTCACTATTATGTCGTACCGAGAGTAGATGTTGCAGCTCGAAGAGACACAACTCTGTAGACTTCATC